CGTGGCTGAATGCCCAATGCCGTCGTTCTACTAAAGGCGGTGGCATCCACCAGCTGATGGTGCCCTACGACATCCTGACGGATCGCGAGCGCCAGCGCTATCGCAAGTTGACCTATCAACTGATCCGATTCCTACAGTTCAATGGCTACCGGCTCACCAGACTGGCTACAGCTGCACCGGCCACCGGTCGAAAGCCGAGCATACAGTTGGCCGCTGCTGCCCCCAGCAGCACTGGCATCACTAACTCAGGAGGCGGAGGGCCGTCGAGCAGATTATGTAAGCAAACGCATTCATGTCTTTTGCTCGACCATTCAAGACGGATTTCCCACAGAATTTCCTAGGTTTTCCATTGAGTTCATCATCTGCCTCCAATATGCTTAGACTTAGTCCTTTTAGCAAGTTGTTGAACTCGTTTTTGCAACTAAGTCACGTTGTCAGGGCAACTTGGTTGGACGAGGCTTGTTTTAAGTCTTCTGCTTTAGCTGTTATGATAATTTCCGGTGGTGGACCGTGGACTTGGTACATTCACAAACATTCGCCGACACCATAGTCTGCATCGTCTGCGAGTCTTGCCATTCTCAGGACCAAGCTGCAACTTGTAAAAGAGACAAATGAAGTGAATTCCTTGACCAACTTTCTGCTGTACGGTTTTTTCATCTTTCTGCCTCCTCTCCATCATCGTATCTCACTCCCCCGCTATTATATCTTTTACCTTGCTTACGCTCGACTACTCCAGATACGTTCTCTATTGGGTGAGTCTAGTTGAGCATTACCACAACTGCTTGCTTACTTGCCCCCTTTTCCTCCCTCTCAATTTTCCGGAATTGCTGATCAAACTCGGACCGGAAAGTGTTTTCATATCTTAGTGGTTTTCTGATTTGATTTATTTCAACTCACAGCTTACGTTTTACTCAAGGTCTCATAGTCTGCCATAAGCCCACTACGATGTCGGCGAAACGTATGGGAATGTATACAATCCACGGTCCGACGCTGGGAATTATCATAACCACTACAGCAGAGGACTTTAGACGAGGGGCATCCAACCAGGTCATCCTGACAACACAACCAAGCTGCGAAAGCGAAGTCAAATAACCTATGTAGAGTGAAATGAGACTGCGCTTTACCCTTTTCTCTGTCTGAGCCGAAAAATGACTTGTACTTCATCTCATCGTATCACCATTTATAGCACACCTATTGGATCTGCTTGTCATACGATTCATGGATCGGCTCGGTTAATGATAGTGTGAGTAAGACATGCAGCACACTTATACGTTCTGGTTTATGAGTATTGACATCGTTGGCGGAACTAAATGGCATGCCTTCAAAAGAGCTTCCAAGATAGGTTGATTTGCACACTCGTAGTTTACAAAATACTTTTACTCATATCCAGGTGGTTCCATTGCCTTTAGATAAGTTTCTTGCCCAAAATGTCGCCATAATATAGCTATATGAATGTCTCTTTGATACCATTTTCCTTATTAAAAATAGTACTTTCCTTCATGTCAAAAGCAACTGTTGGAACTGATTTCTACTCTTCCGCCCTTCTTCGTATGTTTCTTTGTGATTATTTTTTGGTTAATTACTAAATCAGTGATTATGATATAACTTGTGCATTTAATGAATTACGTTGCGCGGAGGTACGCCTATTTATATGTTTATATAGCGTCGGGCGCATTAGCCTTCCAGATTTTTATATAACATATTATCTGTGATATATCAGCAACTATTTTCATACCATACCACAAAACTATTCTATTTTTCATGCTATTATGGACTATTCAAGTTTTCAATTTCATGTCATGGCTTAGATTGAAGATAATCT